ATATATATATATATATATATATATATATATATATATAGTTAAATGTAAAGTTATTGTAAATCTTACTAAGATTAAATATGTCATACACAAAAGCCAAAGCTTACTTGTTCAAACATTTCCTCTTGTTTCAATGTGAAATTAAAATGACAGATTAGTTTCAAAATACATAAATAAATAAAAATAAAATAATAATAAATAAATCACAGACAGAGTGAAAAGTTGGGATGTTGTGTAACGTGTAACTAAAAACAGAATGCATATAGAATATAGTATATAATATAGATTTGCAAATCATTGTTTTCTGTTTTATTACATTTTACGCAACGCCCATACTTTGTCCGATTTGTAGGGAGATATTGATTGTTTTATGTTGATAATGACATTTTAGTATGATAAATAGAAACACTGGTAATTGAAAAACAATACAAATGTATTTCCTAACAATATTTTTCCTTTGTGATCTCTGAAACAATTTCAATAACACAAACCTAAACTGCTTTTATTTAGACACAAATGAATGTATTTGTTGTTGTTGTCGTTCTGGTTGTTAGCCACTGCAGGGGAAACTGAGTGTGTCTTTCTGCTCCCTTTCTTCCTGCTCTCTGTGGATGCAGCAAACAGGAGAGGTTAGTGATCTTCTGCTTCTTGAAGCCTAACACACTCAGGAACTGGGTGCTTCATCAGAACTTTGACTCTGAATGAAGTTAGATCTTTGTTTCAGTTCACTTGCTGCTCTCTAAAGTCTGTCTTGAGTTGTTTTGTCGTGACCTTTGACCCTTCACTCCTCTGCCTGTGTTACCTGCCCAACCCGTGTGTCTCACTGTACGATGAATTACACACTTCAGCCTAGACTGCCTCATATGAACCTCAGCCGAGTTCTTGTTAAAGCTCTCCAGAACCAGGTTGCGGTCCTTGTAGTATTTCTAATCGCCCGACGCCGTTCATGCCCACGTTTACACCAACATTATTTCATGCTGAGGAATGTTATGGACTTTTTGCTCAAACATTGAAGATAATGCGAGATGCATTTTAAGCAAAATCATGACCTGTCACGCCTTCCTCAGAAATTTTTGAATAAAGTAGATGCTATTTCCTGCATTTTGGTGTATTTTAACATGTTCATCTATGTTTACCTACATTTGTAAACACTCCACATCTGTCAAGAATTGTTTTATAATTGTTTTATCTTTCCTCTCTCTTCCTCCAGGAAACGAACAACTCCAGCTAAGGATGAATACACGTTAGGGATGAAAGATTCACTGATGGCTCTCACTGCAGACCCTGTGGAGATTAGGAGACTCAACTATCACACACAAGGCATGGACACTTGCATTAATTGAAAACACTGCCTCCAAATGTCTTAAGTCCCACAGTATAGCTGTATGGTTATCACGCCCCACTGTAAAACTGTTTAGTTTACCGTCTGTTTGTCAGCAGTCAGAAAAGACATACACAGAGAGATAAACACAGCTCAGCATTTCATCGGCTGACCCCTGCCTTTCCTGGATGATATTGTCATCTCTCAGTTTCATGTAGATTTTCATGTAAATTACCTCTGACCCAAGACAGCAGTTTTTCAACAAATGTAGGTGCCTCAACATTAGGATGAATAGACAGTTTTTGTCCCTGGGCCATAAAAACACCAATGTCTTGTAATTCCTGAATGACAATTTCATGAGTTTTCATCAGTTTCCAGTTTTTTCAAAGATCCTCATTTATTTATTTTTGGAGTTTTTAAATTATCAATATTTTTCTACAGTTTTTTTTTAGTGATTTGGCAAGTAAACTAGTAAACACTTGCCTAATTTCATTGCATATGAGCCATTTAGTGAAAAATAAAGTTTCTGATCTGTTCTGTGTGCCACTGGTTGTGTAAACCTATTCTCATGTCTCTGCTCTCTGTAGGGATGAAGGAACATCCTCCTATTTTTATTTGTGACTTAGTGGACCACATTGAGAGACTCAAGGCCAATAATGCTCTGGGCTTTTCACAGGAATATGAGGTAAGGTTTGGTGCTCTTATCCTTAATAAAAACTGACAAAACACCCATATCTGCATGACCCTGTTGTTATCTGAAAGGCAGGGCTTAATTTGAGCCAGATCCTGCAGCAACAGGATCTGAGAACTCTCTTATTTTGACAGGGTGCGTTCTGCTGACTGTTTGCTTGGATATGGTAACTGTCAGGCTTTCTGCTAATAACGTTATGAACAAATTTGACTGCCTTGAATGAATAAAAGCTATATTGGATATGTAATCTGAAATTAATTACATAAACACTCATTTTAAACACAATAGCCACTTACAATCTTCCTAATATCACATCAGAGCTGCCCCTTCAAGTAAGTATTTCTGCTTCTAACCTTAAAAAATCTTAGCCTCTGAAAGTTCAGTCATGGGTAATTTGATTAAAAACACAAAAATATAATTAAACTCCAAAACTAAATTGTGAATCAGTTTGACATTTTAATTGGGTCATTAATACAATTTTGATAATTTATTAAAATTACTGTATGAGAGAAATGTTTGATGGGTAATCATGGCATGGTGTACATCACATATCAAAACAACGGCGCAAATTTATCAAAATGACAACAATCAAAATGGGACTAGTGTCAAAAATGTAATGTACTGTTGCTTTCAAAGTGCATGATCAAATTCTTATAGGAATGGGAAAAATTCAGGGCCTTCTACACCTTCAGAGAAGGCCCAAGCATTCAGCATATGAAAATGAAATGTTACGTTGAAATATTTAGTTAATATTTATTTGATATAAAATATATTTTCCATTGTAGTTTTTCTTGTTTTAGCTAATCCAACATTTTTCAGTCAGGTCATCTGGACAGTTTCTTTTTTTGTGTGCTGAAACGTTTCACCTTCCACCCAGAAGGCTTCATCAGTCAAGGAAACACACAACACAAAACTGATTCTTCCCCCAACAGCTTACTCCAAAGTGGAACAAACCAGTTATGTTGGTGCTAAGATGGTGTCTTTGGCACGCCCCCTCCTCTGTTGCTGACCCTCTCCCTCGTTTTAGCTAATTTGTTTTATTTTCGGTTAACTACTTTGCAGTTGATCTAAAATGTTTCTAATTCATGAAAATACAGTTATCCAATCAGAGTTTTTAAAATGTACGTCTCCAGGCAGAAACATGCTTGAAGGAGGAACTGTTGTTTTATTCCACTATGGGAGTGTGATGCTTGTGGGACTCAGTTTATTGGTGGCTCCTCAGATTGAAGAAGTCCTTTGGATGAAGGACGAACCGTCTCAGCAAAAAAAAAAAAAAAAGAAAACGTCCAGATGACCTGACTGAACATTGTTGAGTTTTTACCTGGAATACTGAGCATGGACTTTGATGTTTGAAGGATCTCTCATTGGTTTGGGCTTCACTGTCATGAGAGAAGGCTCAGTTCAGTGAGATAGTCTCTGCAGGATGAGTTTGATCAGAAACTGACAGAAAATTTACCAATCATAATGTTTATTTAGAGTTGCTGTTGGTTATTGTCTGTCAAATTGTAACTTGAAGAATGTTTGTGCTAATTTGTAAGAACATGACTATTAAATGCTTATGAACGCCTATGTAGCATGAAGCTGCCCTCATAGCTAGAGTGCAGCTGTATTACTATTATTGTTTATTGTATGTGTATGTGTATATATTATTATTATTATTATTATTATTATTATTATTATTATCTAGCTGAGTGCAGTGTATTACCTTAGCTAGAGGAGTGCAGGTCATAAACTGTTTTTTAAAAATACTTTTCACTTCAGTAATGTCTGGTATTTTTCACATATTTACCGTCCTTGGACACAGAGTCAGCTACAGTCTGACTAATGTTTATCTTATTTTTTCCTATGTTTCTAAGAAAGAAAAACAAATCAATAATGAAGTTTGTTTTATTTAACAAGCGGGAACATGAATAATTCTGATTGTTGTTTTCAATCATTATAATCAAATCATGTGAAATATTATAATGTGAATAGCATACTGTATTTCTCTGTTCTGTTTTTCAGAAGATAGCTTTTCCTTGAAGAGACACCTGATGAAAGCTCTTTGAGCTGGAGCGGTTTGCTTCAGAGGGGAGTCATAATTTTCCCGAGTAGCCAAAACATCTTCTGAGAGCTGTTGTTTTACACAAAGTCTCTTTGTGTGACAAAGCAGTTCGCCTTGGACTCCCAATCTTGATGTAGTCCGAGGTCCACTCCTCGTCATTCCTGAGCAGATAAACATGTTGCTTGATTACAATCTGGTAGAAAAATTAGAAGTTAAATAACTACAGAAGATGAGGCATTGTTGTCACTGCAAGACACGTTCTTAGCTTGAAGTCTAAGCCATCTGAAGGTGCCAATGGACGGTGCACCTTCTCATCAGCTATGGCCCTCACAGACCCCTGAAGCTGTCACAGTGGCATTCAGCTACCTTGAACAGTTCCTGGCAAGTCCTGCTCGTGGTGTATCCTAGTTTGATCTACCAGCAGAACTCCAGAAAAATGAGTGATCTGGTGCCCTCACACTGAGCCGGTAAGGAGCAGAACTTTGTGACATTGATGCAATTCTTGGTCTGGTTATGCCATATTAGCTGATGCAACTTGATATATTGTTTCCTGGCTTGCAGTGATAATAAATGACTTTATCTGGTCACAATAAATAACTTCTTTCAACCAAAATCCAAAGTAAACTATTTATTTAAATAGTCAAACTTTGTCTAAATTCATGTGCGTATAAAACTGAAACAATTCCTGCTCAAAGAGTCAATTTTGCCCAAGAGAATTAAGCCTTGATTGATTAATTGTTGTTTTTTGTTTATTATTGTTGTTTATTCTTAGTTTGATTATTTTTGTAATAAAATTTCAAAGATAACTTTGGTCTCTTCTCTTTGTTATGGTATGGGACTCTCAGTAATTAATGGATTCTACTTCAGTGACTGTGAGATCTGATTGTTAAAGGGTGCATATATGAAATAAGTTGTTGGTCAATAAACTGACCAGCTGGTGCCCCACTTTAATGAGTGCTAAATAAGTAAACACAAACGTACTGGAGTGTTGTTGAGAAAGTGTTGCCCTTCTTCCTCCATCTCACTTTCCATTCCTTTCCTGTCTTTCGTGTCTCAGTCTATTGATCCAGGACAGCAGTTCACCTGGGAGAACTCCAACCTGGAAGTCAACAAGCCTAAGAACCGCTATGCAAACGTTATTGCTTATGACCACTCCAGGGTCATCCTTACTCCTGTGGATGGTAAGAAACAACAAAAAAAGTATTTTGTCTTTCCTATGGGACACATCTGGTTGGTAGGCTGTAGACTGAGGAAGTCCTCTGGATGAGGGATGAAACATTTCTCACTTAAATAAACTGGTCCAGATGACAGGATTTAACTTTTTTTGCTGTTGTCTCCCTGGATGATTGAGCTTACAAGCTTTTTTCTTTTATATTTCATTTTGAGGAAGGATGCCAGTTGGAATATGTTCCAAAACATGGAAGAGTAACATGTTAGATGTTGGACTAAAAATTAAATGAGTAGTAGTGTATGCAGTGTAGTAGCCCAATCATCTTGAGTGGGCTACTACAGCAACAGTAATTAAAGAGGCAGGTAGGAAGGTATTTGGTGTGTCATCTGAACAGAGAAAATATGATGAAACCTGGTGGTGAAATAGTGAAGTGCCGGAATTCAGAGAAAAAGGTTGGCCAAGAAGAACTATGACAGTGAGAGGACTGAAGAGAGGAGACAGTAATATAAGGAGAGGCAACGTAGCGCAAAGAGGGAGGTAACTAAGGCAAAACAAAAGGTATATGATAAGTTGTATGGGAGGCTGGACACTAAAAATGGTGAGAATGACTTGTACCGATTGGTGAGACAGAGAGTTCAGCCTGGAAAGGATGTGCAGCATGTTGGGCTTGTTAAAAGTAGAAATGGTAATGTTCTAACAAATGAGGAGAGTGTGATTCATTCAACCTTTATTTAAACAGTTTAATCCCATTGAGCCACGACGAGGACTCATTTACAAGAGAGACCCGTGATAGGAAGCTGGAAAGAGGTTTTTGAGGAGCTAATGAATGAAGAGAATGAAAAGAAAAGAAGAGTAGAGGTCATAGAAACTGTGAACCAGGAAGTGGAAAAGATTAGCGAGGGTGAAGCTTGGAAATCTTTGAAAAGAATGACAAAGGGAAAGGCAGTAGGACCTAATGACAAACCTGAAAGCTTGGAAATGACTAGAAGAGATTTCAGTAGGTTTTTGACTCAAATAATCAATGGCATATTAGAGGGTGAGAAAATGCCTTAGAAATGGAGAAGTGTGCTGCTGCCCATTTTTAAGAACAAGGGTGATGTACAGAGTTGTAAATGGACTGCACTTACATAGTGCTTTTCTATCCTATAAAGATACTCAAAGCACTTTGCAACACAATATGTGCCCTCATTTACTCACTCACACAGCACTCTACTACATCTCTACAAAGCAAGTCTGAATCAATCAATCAACCTTTATTTATACAGGTAAATCCCATTGAGCCTCGAGGACTCATTTACAAGAGAGACCTGATTTCAACAAAGAAAGATGACAACAATGGACAACAGCAACAACAATAAGCAATTATAAAAACTCATACTACAGTTTTTTTTTTTTTTTTTTTGTTTTTTTAACAAATAGGATGGCTAAAAGGAAAAAGGTAACAAAACCAAAAAAACAGCTAGATTCCAAGACAAATGTATAAAACTAAAAACAGGAACATGTCAGCATTTGAATCTGTAGAAACTAATCAGTGCTTTATCACATTCATATCACAGGGATTAATCTGTATAAAAAAAAGGGTTAAATGATTTCATACATCGATGGGGCACACATTGGAGGCAATGAGGGGTTCAGTGTCTTGCCCAGGGGCACTTCAGCATGTGATTGCTGGTGGAATCGAACCCCCAACTCTTGCATTGGAGGACAACTGCTCTAACCACTCAGCCACAGCTGCCATTGTAGTTCTCCTGTAGTTGTAGCAACTACAGAGGAATCAAGTTGATGAGTCACACAATGAAGATCTGGGATAGAGTTGTGGAAGCTAGACTTAGACATGAGGTGACTATCTGCAGCAGTATGGTTTCATACTGGCAAAGAGAACCACAGATGTCATCTTTTCTTTGAGGATGCTGATGGAGAAGTACAGAGAGGGGCAGAAAGTAATTCATTGTGGCTTTGTGGATTTAGAAAAAAACATGACAGGTGCTGAGGGAAGAGTTGTGGTATTGCATGAGGAAATCTGGAGTGGCAGAAAAGCATGTTAGTATGGTACAGGACATACATGAGGACAGTAGTGAGATGCACTGTAGGAGTGGCAGATAGCTTCAAGGTGTCAAGATCTCAAGCTCTGAGCCCCTTCTTCTTTTCTCTGATAATGGACAGACTAACTGATGAGGTCAGACAGGAATCCCTGTGAACCATGATGTTTGCAGATGACATTGTGATTTGTGGTGAGAACAGGAAACAGGTGGAAGAGAACTTGGAGAGGTGGAGGTATGCACTTGAAAGAAGAGGAATGACAGTCAGTCTTGGTAAGACAGAGTACATGTGTGCGAATGAGAGGGAGGTCGGTGGAACAGTAAGGCTACAAGAAGCAGAGGTCACAACGGAGCAGGACTTCAAGTACTTGGGGTCAACTGTCCAGGAACATGTGGAATGTGGTAAAGAGGTGTAAAAGAGAGTTCAGGCAGGATAGAGTGGATGGAGGAAAGGTTCTTGAGTGATTTGCGACAAAAGGTTGTCAGCAAATGTCAAAGGAAAAGTTTACACAACAGTGGTAACATCACCTATGTTATATGGTCTGGTGACAGAGACATGGACAAAAAGACAGAAAAAAGAACTGGAAGTGGCAGAACTGAAGATCTTGAGGTTCTCCTTAGGAGTGACAAGGATGGATAAGATTAGGAATGAGATTATTAGAGGTACATTGCAGGTTGAACAATTGGGAGATAAAGTTATAGAGGCCAGACTGAGATGGTTTGGACGTGTCCAGAGGAGGCACAGTGGGTTTATTCATAGAAGGGTGTTAGAAATCTTTGATGAACAGAAGACTCCCTCTCCTCTGTGGTCCACACTGCTCTTACTCACCTGGAGCAGAAGGACTCCTACGTCAGTATGCTCTTTGTGGACTTCACGTCTGCCTTCAGTACCATGATCTCCAAAACCCTGATGGACAAACTACTCACACTAGGACTAAGCCCCTCCATTTGCAACTGGGTCCTAGACTTCTTAACAAATGTTCCTTTTTCATTAGTAACGATACAGCACGACTCGACTCAGCCTGGTTCCAAGACTTTTCCATTAGTAAGAGTACGTAGAACCAGTCCCTTTTTTCAGAACCCTTGGCTCTGTGGTTCCAAAGGTACCAAAACGTGACGTCAGATGCCAGTGCAGACAAGCTGAGAGGAAATGGATTAAGGACAGACTGCAGGTTTCCCTGGACATCTTTAAAGACAGTTTGTCAAATTATCAGGGAGTTGTTAAAGCTGCTAAGACTGCTTTTTTATCTAACGTGGTTTCTAACAACAGTCACAGACCTCAGGTTCTTTTTAATGTTTTTAACTCTGTTGTGAATCCTTGTGATGCTGGTCATGTTGCTGAATCTCCTCCACTGTGTGAACAGTTTTCCAAGTTTTTTATTTATAAAATCTCTGCTCTGAGGCCCTCCTCAACACAACTTTACACAGACCCCTCCTCACTTCCTCCATCCTCAGCTGCCTTTGAACAGTTTGAGTCGGTGACTCGTGCTGTTTTAAAGGACATCGTGGACCACATGCAGCCTTCTAATTCACCTTTGGACAGCGTTCCCTGTCATCTGTTTAAGGAGGTTTTTAACACTTTTGGCGCATTAGTTCTTGTTCTGAGTAACATGTCCCTGTCGTCAGGCTGTGTTCCAGCTACTTATAAACATGCTGTGGTGCAACCACTTATAAAGAAGAAAAACCTCGACCCAACACTGCTCTTAAATTACAGACCTATTTCTAAACTACCTTTTTTGTAAAAAAATTTTTAGAGAAAGTTGTTTTTAATCAACTTAAGACGTTTTTAACTGCCTACAGCATTGGTGAAAAATTCCAGTCAGGTTTTAAATCAGGCCACAGCACAGAGACTGCCCTTTGACCTTCTTTTAACCATTGATGCAGGAAGCTCTGCTGTTTTAGTGCTTTTAGACCTTTCTGTTGCCTTTGATACTGTGGACCACAACATCTTGTTGTCACGACTTGAGCTGGTGGTCGGTATCAAAGGCCCAGTTTTATCCTGGTTTAGATCCTACCTGACCGGAGCTTTTCTGTTCAATTAGGGGAATGTTCTTCATCTCTAGCTCCTCTGATCTGTGAGGTCCCTCAAGGGTCTATTTTAGGTCCATTGCTTTTTAATCGTTACATGTTGCCTTTGGGGTTCATTTTTAGAAAACACAACATCCCTTTTCATTGCTTTGCTGATGATACTCAGTTATATCTTCCAATTGAGTCAGACAGGGTCAGTCCACTGGATCCACTCTTGAACTGTCTAAATGACATTAAAACCAAATTTTTCATTCAATTCAATTCAAATTCAAAGGTGAAGTCTTGTCTCCCTTTCAGTGACCTTGAAAAAGTGATTCACACTCGTTTGGACTACTGTAATTCATTGTATGTTGGTTTAGACAGATCATCTTTGCATCGCTTACAATCTGTCCAGAACGCAACAGCTCGTCTTTTAACAGCAACTAAAAAATATGAACACACAACCCCCTGTCCTGGCTTCTCTCCACTGTCTTCCTGTCCACTTCTGGATTGATTTTAAGATTTTATTGCTTGTTTTTAAAGTTTTAAAAGGTCTGGCCCCGTCTTATTTATGTGATCTTATTAACATCTACACTTCAGTAAGAGCACTCCGGTCTACTGACCAGTTCCTCTTAGATGTCCCCAGATGCAATCCAGAGGTGATCAGGCTTTTGCGGTTTTCGGTTTGCGGTTGCTGCTCCAACAGTTTACCAGAGAATTTAAAGACCGCTGAGACTGTTAAGACTTTTAAATCTTTGCTGAAGACTCATCTGTATTCCTTGGCATTTGATCTGAGAACAAATTTTGAGCAATTTTTTGTTGTTGTTGTGTGTTGTATTTACAGTTAACTTTCTTATGTTTTTGAGTGGCATTAGATGCATTTTTTAACCTTTTTTTCCGTCTTAACTCTTAAGCACTTTGGTCAGCTTTTGTTGTTTTGATGTGCTATATAAATAAATTGACA